CGGTCTCCTTTTCCGAAGGGGCCCAGGGACACACAAATAAATAGACTCAAGTAACAGGATTCCCCATGTTTTCCCATCTTTTCTAGGTTTTCGTCTTCCCCCCCCACTTCCCATATTTTTTCCTATGTTTTCCTGGGAGTCGACGATGAATGGTGTCTGTGTTTTTTCCCCCCCCTCTTGAGTTTTGCTGTCTCCCTTTCCTTGTCCCCCTTCTCCGGGGGTCAGAATCCTGTCTGAGGAGCCCCTATCGCACTTCCCGGGTCCTCCGGACTGTCCAGTTGGGCCACTAGGCCCATAAGACCCTCGAAACGGATGAATATGGTCCAAGGTGGCTCCGTAGAAGGCCTCGGGTGGCCTAAAGAAGGCCTGACATGACGCCAGGATGGTCCCAAGAGGTCACAGGACGTTCAGCGACGGCTGCGGAGGGCTCCCGAGAGCTCAAACTCGTGTGGGCATTGCATGTTTATGTACTTTCCATATCTCGACTCAAGACGTCCCCGAAGATGGGTGGGCTGCTGCTGCCCCCGAAAGAACCCAAAATCTCAAGAGACCCCCAGACCGCCCAAGATGCCAGGATAGGCTTAGCCCCTCGGGCTCCCAGCTGGCCTTCAAGACGGCAGCAAGCGACTCCAAGATGGCCCAATATCGCCCAAAGACGGCCCCAAGACTTCCCCACACGGCCCGCCCGAAGACACTCCAAAACGGCCCCGAGACCTCGAATGGGACGTCAAGATGGCACCAAGAGAGCCTTAGCGGGCAACAGGAATTGTTATACTGTCCCGCGAGAGCTCGAAGACAAGCCCACATGTTCGACCACATTCGCACGCACCTGCAAGCATACCTCCCAACACCCACTGGCCGGGGGATTTGCGCGCGGGCTCTCCCCTGGGGGGCAGCCGTGAGGGCCGTTTTGTTGGCCCAATAATGTTTGTCTTCTCTTGTTGATGATACAAGAAGTGGAGCACTAAGGTTGGCCACTTGAGTCTCATACTCTTCCCGCACGTCGCATCCACTTCTCCTTATCACTTCGGCAACCATCCTTCTCCTCCATCTCTTCATGCCCCCTCATCCTCTTCCGCCTCACATCATCTGGCTGCTTTTTGCAAACCCTCAAAGCGGGCCCGAGATATTCTACGACATGTGGCCACAATAACTTATGTCAAGAATATGCGTCCGTTCATGGACGGCTCAATGCCACGTGTATACGCCACAGACAAACAGCATTCCAATGCGGAGAGCCCAGCACGAATAACGGAAGGGTACCCTTCTCAAGCTAGGGTTGTTCTTGACCCTCGCACGAACCAACATCCTGCCAGCTACGTACTCCCTTCTGCCTCTGTGCCCCGCCTGGGCATCACGTCGCTCTGCGTCGTCTCCGTGCGATCTACAGTCGAGACATGGCCACAGCAACGCGAATTAAGAATACGAGCCCGCTCGCTGAAGGCCCAGGCCCCATGGCACTACTGAGCGCTCCAAGGTGGCGAGACACAAGGGCGCAGCTTCAACACTAGTGCTGTTACCCCTCGTGCCAGCGGTTCCCCGCTCTTGCAATCCCTGCAACCCAGATTACATATGCCCCGTCCACCTCTTGGGGCTGGCGGACATGGCGCACGCCGCTTGAAGAACACGGAAGAGTCTCGAACTCGTCCTGCAGATCCCCTCTTCCCTCAATGTCAGAACCGATTCCTGCACCTGCCCAGGAGCGCGCTTTGACCGTGATTCTGAGGCGGATCCAGCCGTGGCGACAAGGGCCACCCCGAGAATGTCGAAAGACGTTCAAATCCAGAGGGAAGAAATGCTAACGGGGAGTCGAGGCGCTCATGCTGCACTCTCCCCACCCTCTGCCTCGACCCCCCAGGCCTGTCCCAGAGCGCTCTCTGATCAGGACTCTGAGGCAGATCCAGCTGTGGCTACGAAGACGTCCCCGAGAGCCCCGAAGAGGAGAAGGCCGAGGAGGAGGCGCAGGCGGATGATAATGATGACGGTAGTGCCCGACTGGCTATGGCGTGACCTGAAGGTGTGCCGAAGAACGACATGCACGCTGGAGGCCTGGCAATTCTCCGCTGCCAGCCGAGACCGTGTTGCGTGTGGCTCGCTTCTGTCGCACAGAAGTTCGGCATCACTACATCTGTGCGAACACACACATATACATATATCTATATATACATACAGAGCATATTCAGCACCTGTAGAATTTGCAGGCTATCTATGTATGTATGTATGTATGTATGTATGTATGTATGTATGTAGGTATGTATGTAGGTATGTATGTATGTATGCATGCATGCATGTATGTATACACACCTTTATACATGCATACATACATATATGTATGAGGGAGTGCCATGGCGTCGGGATTGTGTCCCCACGCGCCAAGGTGGTGGTGATGATGACGGTGCTGCGGATGGGAAGGAGGGGGTCTCCCTCCCCGCCCTGCCTCGATCAGGGCACCGCGGAGCTTGAGGTTGTCGCAGCGCAGGTGCCCCACGAGCGTCGCCATGCCCGGGGCGGAGATGCCGCCTGCAGAGGAAGAAGAAACTGCACAAACATAAGCTTTCGACGGTCCGAGCGGATTCTTCGGATCTGTGTTACGTCGGGCATGTCTCTCTACAGGAGGAATATTCACAAATAGTCACAACAATGATCCGGGGACGACTTTCGGACTATTTTTGCCCCTTTGGAGGATATGTTTGGAGTTTTTTTTGGGGGGGGGAAAAACAGAAATCCCCCGAAATCCCTCTGTACGGCGGGTTCGTGTCGTGCCGACCCCAGCGTTGGTTTTTGACACCGCAGGGATCGTTCAACCTTGAACGATCGGCCGTCTCCGCAACGTCCAATCGTTCAACATCGATCGATTCTGGGTCGCCGGCGGCGTTCAACCTTGAACGCCCGCGCTGGGGTCGCCGCGAGTCGACACGACGCGAACCTACCGTAGGGGGACAGGCCCAACCTAAGAGTTGTGCTGGATTTTCTCCCCGGCGTGCGGAGCGCGCCCGCGGAGGTGCCGCCAGGCGCCGCCAGGGGCCCAGAGCGTGGATCCAAGACATCGGCGTGGAGCGTCGAGAGTTCATGCTCATACCGATTTTTCCTCCTCCTCCTCCTCCTCCCCCTCCTCCTCCTCCTCCTCCTCCTCTTCCTCCTCCTCCTCCTCCTCCTCCTCCTCCTCCTCCTCCCTCCTCCTCCTCCTCCTCCTCCTCCTACCTCCTCCTCCTCCTCCTCCTCCTTCCTCCTCCTCCTCCCTCTCCGTCTCCCCCATCGAGCCTGGCTCCTGGGCGGCGACCCGCGGTGTGCCCCGCGCAGATGGCTGGGCCTCGCGGGTGGGGGGGGGGGTCAGGAGGAGTATGCAGGAGTCGAGGGTCGAGGACAAGGAGGAGGAGGAGGACCAATGTAAACGCAAGAGTCACCAACGATGTCGGAATAAATCCTCCCTCCAAGCTCCTTCTTCACAGGCCCCTGCAACGGTTCATTTCCACCGAGGGAACTGCCTCGCTGGAAGACAGCCGTTTGAAGAGCCGGAAACGTGCCACGACATTATCCTCGGGACTCCAACGCCACGGATCAACCTGACTGTTGCGTCTCGACGATCCTGAATCGTGCCAGAATGCCATTCCTGGGACGTCAACACCGCGAATGAAAATAACTGTTGCACCCTCATAATCCTGGATATTTCCAAAACGCCATTGTTGGTACGCTGACAACTGGAATCCTTGAAACTCTTCCACATACTAAAAACGAGTGTGCGCGGCGCTAAGGCGAGAACCACATTTTGAAAACGGCCCGCCCTCAATTCGTGAAGCTCTGGCAAATGTATAAAACGAATGTGCACGGCGCTGAGGCGAGAGCCCCTTTTTGGAAACCACCCGCCGTCAATCCGTGAAACTCTTGCAACTCTTTCAGGGCGAATGTGCGCGGCGCTAAGCGAGAGCCACATGTTGAAAACGACCCGCCCTCAATCCGTGAAGCTCTGCTCAAAATATACAACGAATGTGCGCGGCGCTGAGGCGAGAACCACATTTTGCAAACGACCCGCACTCAATCCGGGAAGCACTTGCAAATGTTTAAAACGAAGGCGCGCGGCGCTACAGCGAGAGCCACATTTTGAAAACGACCCGCCCTCCATGTGTGAAGCTGTTGTCATTTTTAAGCTTCAAGGTCGTGCCTGGTCCGCCCTTTCGACTGGCCTCTGGGCGCGACAGGGAGGACTTACTTATGAGGAAAGGGAATGGAGGAGAAGGAAAAGGAGGAGGAGGAGGAGGAGGAGGGGGAGGGGAGGAGGAGGGAGGAGGAGGAGGGGAGGAGGAGGAGGAGGAGGAGGAGGAGGAGGAGGAGGAGGAGGGGGAGGAGGAGGAAAGAGGGGACTGGGGGAGGAGAGGAGGAGGAGGAGGGAGGAGGAGGAGGAAGGAGGAGGAGGAGGAGGAGGAGGAGGGGAGGAGGAGAGGAGGGGGGAGGAGGAGGAGGAGGAGGAGGAGGAGGAGGGAGGAGGAGGAGGAGGAGGAGGAGGAGGAGAATGAGGAGGAGGAGGAGGAGGAAGGAAGGAGGAGGAGGAGGATCGGAATGAGGGATGAACTGAGGATCGAGGAGGAGGAGGAGGAGGAGGAGGAGGAGGTGGAGGAGGAGGAGGAGGAGGAGAGGAGGAGGAGGAGGAGGAGGAGGAAAAGAGGGTCGCCCCGCCGTTCTCCAGCGGCCCTCGCGCACCCTCGATGGCCCTCGGGAGGGGGGGGGAGAAAAAGGAGGGGCACCTCTCCCTCCCAGACCTCCTCGCGTCGTGAAAAAATCACGACGGGAAGTTTTTCGCCATTTGCGGCCTCCGGGGGCCCTTATGCACTGGGCACCGGGACCGTCAAGAAACGCCTCAGGTTGAAGAGCCGGTCCCGGGGAAGAGGTCCAGACCTCTGGGGGTCGACGTTGTGAAAACAGGCACGGCGTCGGGGGTCTGGGCCCCCCTCTCCAGCAGACCTGGGGATCCAGAGCTCCAAGACCTCAACCGGTTGAACGGTGAAACACTGTGGACTCGTGGGTGGGTGCAGGCTGCGGCCCCTTTGTTACGCTTGGCGGACTTTCGTAACTAGGCTGTAGCGTTCCGAAGGCTACGGCCCCCCTCCACCTCCTCCTCCTCCTCCTCCTCCTCCTCCTCCCCTGGGCCCGTCAGCTTCTTCAGGACCTCTATTTCGCTTTCGAGGGCTCCGAGGAATTCAGGGACCTGGTGCCAGATGATTTCCCGCTTCTGAAACTTTTCTCTTCGGACGACGGCAGGGACTGGGCCTTTATCGATTTCACGATCCTGCGGGCCTCCTACTTCAGTAAGGCTATTGCACCACCTGGCTACACCGCCGAACCCCGAGGAGAAGAGGTGCAGGGTGACGACTTGGAGGAGGAGGATGGCAGGAAGGTCCACCAGTGCATGATGAGGGACGAGGAGGGACGGACATGTGGAGCACGCTTCGCTACACCGAAGGCACTACTCCTGCACGCGGCGCGAGCGCATGGGGTCCGAAACGAGGCCGCCCTACTCACCGTGACGAATCAGTGCTTTCGATGTCTCCAGGTTCTGAGCACGACGGAGACTGCACAGAGGCACGTGATGAGGAGTTTCGCCACACGGTGTTGCACGAGGGGTTGGGAGCACGTATCAACAACACGATGTGCGAGTTCCCGATCCTCTGGTGTGTCCTGTACGGCAGGTTCGTGTCGTGCCGACCCCAGCGTTGGTTCCTGACACCGCGCTGGATCGTTCAACCTTGAACGATCGGCCGCTGCCGCAACGTCCGATCGTTCAACATCGATCGATTCTGGGCCGCCGGCGGCGTTCAACCTTGAACGCCCGCGCTGGGGTCGCCGCTGGTCGACACGACGCAAACCTACCGTATGCAGCTTCTTTTTCCTCACACGCTTCTCGCACCACAGCTGCACTTTCGCACGCACGGCACCGCAGCCAGAGCCCCTTCGGCCACGCCTTCCTCGCGCGCAGCATGCATGGCCGGCGTCCGCGTCGGCCGCCGGGGCCCCGCCGCAGCAGCGGGAGAGGGACCTCTCCGTGCTCTTTTTTGTGTATACGCTTCTCGATTTGTGCGTGTCATTCTTGCGCAGGGGCCATGCTAATCTTCTCTGTATCGTTCAATTTTAACGGATGATCCCAGAAGGGAATCCATGGACCTCTCCGTGCTTTTGAGAAGGCACCAGCCCGAGGGGAGAGGAGGGCCGCGCGACGGACGGTGCTCCTTCCGGCAGGAAGCCGAGGGCGGGCGTGGCTCAGATGGCAGACGACGCCGAGGACGCCATCCAGGCGGTCGAGGGCGCGCTCGAGGCTCGGGGCCTTCAGCACGCGATCCACATCTTGCTGAAGATGGCCTGCCAGCACGCCCAGCAGCTTCGAGACCTCGCGGCGTCGGAGTGGATCACGGTGATCCTCCCTTCGACATCGGCGCCCGTGGAGGCGGGCCGAGCAGCCGGCAAGATGTACGCCGAGGCTGCCCAAATCGCATCAGCGACACCACTTCTGGGGCCATCACATTTGTACATCGCGCGAGCCGTGTACAAGTCTCTTGTCGACTCGGAGGAGGTACGGACGAAGACGGCGGACGCTCACTCCCTGCTCAAGAAATTCTTCGAGCAATTCATTTCCAGTTTGGGGATGCGGGAGCTGAGCTTGATGATCAGGCACTTCCGCCTGAAGAAATGTTACAACGACCAGTACACGAGGTTGCAGTTCTCGATCGCGGACCAGATCACTCTTCGTGGCAGGACTCGGGAATCCGACGAGGAGGAGCGGGATCCGAACTTCTCGAAATTGGAGGTGGAATAATCGACGATTTACGCTCTGGAGATCCTGGGCGGTAAGCTCAAGATGGGCACAGCCCCTCAGGGGCATTTAGAATCCTTGGCGCAGAAGCTGCTGGACAAATCGAAGCCCAAGGGCAAGGGAGGAGGCCGCAAGAGTTGATACCATGGGAGACGAGATGGGCAGCTCTGTGTGAACGAATTCGGACTCGGGAACAGTTGCAGCGATGGACGGTGCTTTCACTATTCTTTACAAGCGTTGCTACATATTTTATATCCGGTGCCGACGTTAGTCTTCTCTACGATGGGCGCCATTTACATACTTCCTCGTGGATCGTGTACGGAGCTAGGGGACCAGGAACCCCATTCGCCTGCGCTGGACTCGACCCACATCCATTTCGCAAACTGTACTGCATCGGCGCGCTCCATGCTACAACACCGACAGCAGTCGTTCAGAGTTCGACACGTTCGTCCGCTGCCTCCCCTTTTGCTTGGGCACCCATCGCCGAAGGCGAAAGCATAACCGAGCACATGTTACCATCACGGGAGAGCGTGGCTTGTGCAAGGCCCCGTGGTGGTGATGAATTTCCAGCCTCATTACCATGGCTATCGCCACCTCGTCGCCGCAGCTCATTGACGGTCGTTTGTTTCGTTTCTTCGCCTTTGTCAAGACGAAGGCCACTGTGGATTTGAATGTCCTGGGGAATCCAGATGGCTTTGGCA